TTGATCGAAATCGACCCCAGGACCCTTTAAGCTGTGGGCCGATGCTTTATCCACTGAGCCAAAACAGTTAGGGCTCAGAGTGCAAACTTTATATGAAGAGGGCTGTACATATATTTCAGACCCTAAGGCATTATTACAGGTGCTTCATGGTTTGCTCAATTAATGCCTAGGTAAAAAAAAATTAAAAAATGCCTAGGTGATTAACAAACATCTATTAACATTTACCAGATGTTAGCGACACATGAGGTGAACAAAAGGGACATGATGATAGTTAGCATGGCTTTTTTAAAAAAATTTATTTTAGAGAGAGAGGGAGAAATAGAAATATCAATGATGAGAGGAAATCATCGATTGGCTGCCTGCTGCACGCATCCACTGGGGGTCGAGCCCCAAAACCCAGGCATGTACCCTGTCCAGGAATCAAATGGTAACCTCCTGGCTCATAGGTCAAAGCTCAACCACTGGGCTGCACCACCTCGGGCTAGCTTGACTATTTTTAAAATTAAAATTTTAATTCAAATGTGTCTTTCTTGATCTTATCCTTTGTGACTTCTGTTATTTTTAGGTATTTCTAAAATCAGACAAATATTAACCAATGTTTTCCATGTATAAAAAATATAGGATTCACTTTTTACATTTAGTTCTCAAATTCTTGTGTGAACCCTATATTCTATCTATCTATCTATCTATCTAAAGTATCTAATCACCTGCACTGGTACATTTGTTGAGTAAAATAGCCTCTCCTACTGGTATGTGATGTTGCCTATATGAAGTAGAATCTTACATATTTTAAAGAGCATCCTGTTATTTCTCTTACAGGCATCAGTTTTGAATGTCCAGGAATCCAAAGCTTCTGAAAGAACGGTTGTAGTTGCTGGTCTGCCGGTTGACCTTTTTAGTGATCTATCACTGACCACATTAGTGAAGAGACACTTCCAAGATATCAAGAATGAAGGCGGGGTTGTTGAAAATGTGATATATCCAACAAGAACCATGGGAGTTGCATATGTAACATTCAAAGAAAAAAAAGGTATTTCTAAATCAAATTTCTGTAATCTTATAAATGCTTCTGTAATGAAATTAAAAATTGAATTTCATTAAAATGAATCATGGGATTGGTAAAGTTTAAAGTGGCTTTTTAAAAAAAAGTATTCTATTCTGAATATAAAAGTGGCACTATATTGCACCAGCAAGAATATATGTGGAAATTGCCGTGGCTGGTGTGGCTCAGTTGGTTGGGCATTGTCTCTGGCACTGAAAGATTTCTGGTTCAGTTTGGGGCACATGCCTGGGTTGCAGGCTCGATCTCCCATAGGGGCATGCAGGATGCAGCAGACCAATGTTTTGCTCTCACATTGATGTTTCTCCCTCTCCCTGTCCCTTCCTCTCTCGAGTATGTTCTCGGAGAAAAAAATTAGAAAGTGGTACATGTAGTGATGGTATCTAAAGCCATGGATCACCCAGGAGGTGGGTGAAGGTTAGCAAAGAGTTTTGATTTAAAAGTTGAATTTAGAGGAAAAATATAGAAGAAAATCCCAGGCATTCTAACTAATCTATTATTATTATAGCCCGCAACCCGGGCATGTGCCCTTGACTGGAATTGAACCCGGGACCATTCAGTCCCCAGACCGATGCTCTATCCACTGAGCCAAACCAGCTAGAGCACCATTATTATTAATTAAAATAATTATTAGTGTATCAAGGCACAAACACTTCTGATGGCACTTGTTTCCACTTAGTTGCAGAGAATGTCATCAGAAAAAAGAAACACTATCTAGCAGAGAAGGTTGGACCCATTCAACTCACAGTCTCTCATTTTAGTGAAAAGGTAAGGTGTGACGCTGAAGGCCTGCTGTTAGTCTTGGATCTTGTTTTTTTTTCTGCAAAGTGTTCCCTACATAGGAGACACAAGGCACTGTTATCCCATGATTTGGAAAGAAAATCCAAACTCCTTAACCTGAGTCAGTGTTAAAGGCCAACCCTGTATCTTAAAACTGTTTGATTACTGCTTGGTCTGTTTTTATGTTTCTATCTGTCCCATGAGATGCTTTTAAAGTGATAGTGAGCTTTTATGCTCTCATGGATGATGTCGGGTATCTACCTAAAAACTTATTTTGGGGAAAAACAAAAACCCATGAACATTAAAAAGAAGCTTTGAAGATATAGGAAAGGAAGAAATCAGAGGAAAAGTTAAAATCCAAAGCATTGGTTTAGACTTTATTTGGTAAGAAACCCAGGCTTCTGTGCAGTCATCTGATGAACTTGAAACTTGGGGGCTGCCTAGGGGGACCACTTTATCCACAGAGCAGAACCAGAACAGTGCATATCTATGGGTTCTACTTAAGACTTTGTTTCAAAAAAGCATTCTGCTGCTAAAAAAATATTTAGCCAGCTCTGTTTTGGGGAATGCAGCGAGGGACTGTGAATCCCAAATTGAACATTGTGGGCTCTGTGGGGTTGTGGGATCCCTTTGATGGGCGCTATGGCGCAAGAAGCCAGGCTGTGTTAGGGAGCTGGGGACTGGTTTAGGGTAACTGTTGCAGAGACAGCGGCAGAAAAAGGTTGTGTTTATGCTGTCTGCTCCAGTAGGCAGTGCTGTTTTAATTTCTCTCTCTTTAATTTTAGGTCTTGATCTCTGTAAATGCTATTCTTGATCTCTCTGTTTTTCGAGGTCAGTTCCCTCTGGGAAGTCTGGTGAGGGACCTGAAAAAGAAAATTCCAAGTTTATGCTTCAGTCCTTTGGCCCAAAATGGAAGAATCTCCGTTCAAGGATCCTTTCTGGCTATCAAGAAGCTCAAAGAATCTTTGCTATTTAAAGCAAGTTCTCTTTCAGAAAAAAACAGGAGTTGTATCAGTGAGGGGGAAAAGAGTAGACAGAGCCCCAGAAGGAGTCTACAGAGAAGTAATAACTCTTTGGAGTCACCCAGGTCCTCAGTACCCGAGACGGCTAGACGTGGAGAGACTGCCAGATGTGGAGAGACGCTTGTCCTCGAAACAGATGTTTTCCTGTACCTGAAAAAGAACGGCGTTTATGAAAGTACTTTGAGAAAATACCATGTGCTATGTCAGGAGAGAGTGGAAGGTGAAATCACCACAATTTGCCTAAAAAATGCTCGAGATGGTTTGCGGCCAAACAATGAAAAACTTGTAAAAGAGTACTTTGAGAAATATTCACATGCTCTTCACTTTGAGCTTAGAAAAGAGACGTTTGATTTGGAAGGAAAGGAAAAGAGAGAGAGAGGGAATATTAAGTTGGCATGTGAACAACTAAGTTTGAAGTACCATCAGAAACTTCTGGTTAATTTTTATAAGACACACATTGATATTATAGGATCTTCTTCTGATGTTTACTCATTTAAAAAAGAGGTCATGAAATTCATAAGGCAAACAGTTAGGTGACAGAATCTCAGCAATAGTGATGATAATGGCTGCTGCTTTTCCTTCCTGAGCAGTGAGGATGCCATGCATGATGATAGCTTTACCCATTTTATCTCATTTAATCCTTGAGACCATCCTTCGTTAGAGTCATTGCTTTCCTCATGTTATAGGGGAAGGAACTAGGATTTGGAGAGGTTAAAACACATGTCCGAGGTTATCTAACTGGCAAGGAATGGGGCTGGGGTTAAACCCAGTCTATGTGACTATAAAGGAAATATCTAAAGTATAAAACTTTGAAAAAAAAAAAACACCTCATCAAGCTTTGAAGAAATCTCACTTTCTCTGAAACCCCAAATTCTTAGAAAAGGAAGTAGCTTTAATTCTAATATGCGAGAAGTTCAGATGATGATGATTATGCCGTTGGCAATTTCTTAGCATTTGCAAAGTTTGCATTTATTCTAAATAGAATAAGGCTGCTGGCAAGCCCTGGCCAGGTAGCTCAGTTGGTTAGTGCATCCAGATATATCAAGATTGCAGGTTTGATCCCCAGTCAGGGCACATATAGGAATCAACCAATGAATGCATGAATGGATAGAGCAACAAATGGATCTTTCTCTCCTCCTCCTTTCTCTCTAAAAAATCAATAAAAAAAATTAAAGAAAATATGTTGGCAAAAGTCACTTGAGAAGCTACTTTCTCTCAAAGTCAATCAATCAATAAATAAAAAATTAAAGAAAATAATGCTTGCAAAAGTCACTTGGGAAGTATTTCTGATGCAAGTTAAATTATTACTTAACTAAATTCCATTGGTGCAAGACTACTAGACATGGAACATTTTTATCTAGCCTAACTGCTTACATAAAATGTTGATTCTGTTATATAGATAGTGTAGCATCTTTTTTCTTTATTCCTCCTTTTATAATTGTACTGTTAAAGCAACAACATTTGAGGAGTTACATCATAGGTGCTAAAAATAATAACATGGGTACTGGCACTATCAGAGGGAACACTTTGCAAACCTAAAACCAATACAATGTAATATTAAAAGCAAACTGTAATTGAGCAATAAAGTCAGTTTTCACATATGGAACTAAGAGGAAAATAAATCAAATGAAACATTAATAAAAAAGAGTAACAAACACTATTTGCCAGGCATAATTTTAAGGGCTTTACATATCTTCATTTGGTTCTGACAGCAACCCTATGATGTAGGTGCTGTGTTTTTTGTCCTTTTCACAGATGAGGAAACTGAAGTCTACTGATGTAATGTAACTTGTTTGTGCTCTTAATTACTGTACTGTGCTTCTCCATTTTTATAGAACTAGTCTCCTACATTTCTACGTAAAGGATTAAGAAGTCAGAGATGACAGAGGATTTGAAAGTTCTCTAGTGAAGAAGGGAAGCCAGGGCTCATAAGTCATTGAGTTGTATGACTACCCTGAATTTAACTTTGGATTAAGCCAGTTTTAAGTGGCTGGGCCACTGCAGAGACCTTCTTGGGATAATAAAATGTTTATATCTCACATAGCTCTAATAAACAATCATGCTTATGACGATTGGAATTGTTTATATCAGGACAAATGAAGAAAAACCTTCATATGCTTCCATTTTTCTCAGCTATCTAAATCCCAGATATGTAAGTAATTCCTAATTCTTTAAACACAACATTTCATTTCTGTCTGAGTAAACACCACAGGAAATTTGCTATTTATATTGAGTGCCCAATAAAGTATTTCAAGAAGTTTGTCTCAGTTTGGGTCCAATCAGGAGAGAGAAGGCACACAATAATTTGAATAGGGAAAGTATAATGTAAAGAGTTGCTAACTATAATAGGGCATTAAACTAATGAGGGATTGACTAGCAAGAAATAGAGAACTAAAAAATACAGGAATAAAAGAGATAAGGAGCAGTTTAGATAGAGCAACCAAGGAGGGACTCCTCAGCCCCCGCTCTGAGAGCCAGTCCTTGCTGTAGGGCTTGTACTAGGGGATCTTACTGAAAATCCATCCTTTAGGGAGTATCTCACCAAGGGCACTCCATTACAAAATGGCTAAAGGGGTTGCTGGGGAGACCTTGTGTGCTAGGGGCTGAACACTGGAGAGGCTGGCCACGGTGCGTAAGCCTGATGGTGCATGCTTCAGAAGCTGGTGCTGGGAGGGCTGGATTCTGGGTAGCCTGCCTGTTGGATACACTGAAACAGTCCTTTCTTTTGCAATGTCTCTCTGGCGCCCTCTGCTGACAAAACGTAACATCCTGTCAGATACAAAAGAAAAATCAAGGGACCAGATCTATTTTTATAGGGTATGCACATAAGATGAATTTAAAGCTGACTCATAAATTAATAACTGGCAGAGTTATATTTGATACCTACAAGGCTCTCCATGATTACCAGATATTGAATACCAATAGAATAGTCTTTCAACAAAGAACTGGATCAGAATAGTGAATCTCAGTCCATGATCTGATATAAATTAGATACTCATTGGACTTAAAGGAACTGGTATGGCATCTTCTGCTTGAGAAGATGATATATCTCAGGTGTTTTTACATATGGATGTCCATTTCAGAGTTTATTTAACAGCACTCTTTTTATAATATGCTAACTGTGTAACCAATTTCTATCCTTAAAAAAACTCCCCCCCCAAAGTGGAAGTGCTGATTTTTATTAAAATGTATTTTTGAATGTTACTGGTGCCCAGGCAAATGATGTGAATTCCATCTTGTTGTCAAGCCTAAACCCTGTTGAATGTCTGCCATTGAGAGAAAAACCTATCATTTAATTAGATAACAAGCTGATACTTCTCAGAGGCTGCAGGTAGTGAAGAGAGCCATTATCAATGTTTAAAGGGATGCAGGAGTTTGAGATCATGATCTACAAAGGAGAAGAGTGGGAGAAAGGGCGCTTAGGCATCTGGGTAAGAAACTCATTTTGAAATTTTTGTTGATCTCATACTCTGGGACACTATTTTGCTGTGTTCGGAAGACAGCAGCAGGACATACGATAGAACTATTCACCGACTCCTAAGTCTAGCAGAGAAGGCAGGCAAACAAGCCATTTCAGCAGTGCTGGTTGTAGAAATACTTGGCATGGGGTGTGTGTATGTGTGTAATTCTTACCTGGTCATTTCCAATTTATTGGCATAATTCTCATACAAAAAGATAGTGAATATATGTTCAAGTTTTCTTTACCTTATTATTGAGGAGTAAACTAGCAGAATGACAAAACTAGTTCAAAAAGAACACAAGAAATGGAATTTAAAAGATGACTGGAGAAAAGCATGTTAGTAAAGATTGCTAACCTGGCAACAGAACTGGTCAATGTCCTATAACGCTATAAAACTGTGATTTGGGGAATTATTTTTGCTGCTAAATAGAAAGGAAAATATTCACACTTTATTGGTCTTTCTTAGGAGTTAAGTTTCTGACCTTACGGAGTTGTAAAACGTCCTTGCCCTAATCAATGGTGATATTAAGTGAAACCAAGTTATGTTCCCCCAAAGCGATGACCCACCAGGGGGTTATTAGATGCCATGTCTAGCATGGCATTAAAAGGTCTACAGAATTACCTTTTGCCTTATTTCTGTGTTTTGAGTTATTTTCTTTAACAAGGTTCAGGAGAAGCTTCTCAGAGGCTGAGAGAAAGGGAGGGCAATGCAGCACTTGGTTTGGTAGATGAGTGCCAACTTTAGGGATGGCTGAATTTTTAAAAATATATTTTTATTGATTTCAGAGAGGAAGGGAGTGGGAGAGAGAGAGATAAAAACATCAATGATGAGAGAGAATCATTGGTAGGCTGCCTCTTGAACGCTCCACACTAGGGATCGAGCCCACAACCCAGGCATGTGCCCTTGACTGGAATCAAACCCAGGAACCTTCAGTCCACAGGCTGACGCTGAGCCAAACCAGCTAGGGCAGGATGGCTGAATTTTGACAGCTTAGTTTTTACAACTTTTGTTTGATGGACAGGATTCCTCAGTTTCTCAATAGGAGACTCACACAGGTGTGAGGAAATGTCTAATTTGCTCTGTGAATTTCTCCTTGTAAAAAGTTTCAAAAAAAATAGTAATTTAAGGAACTTCATTTTCCTGCCTGGATTTTATTACTCTTGAGCCATTTCTGGTATGAATACCGGCCAAGGAAGATAACCCTTCCACTCCAGTGGGCTCTCTTCCTGGTCTCCACTGACCCTGCCTCTCTCATCTTTCTCTTCTTCCAAACGGAATGATTCTGGGGAAGTTCCTCAACCCTCTGGCCTCAGCTGTAACCTATTTCACAGCGCTATTGTGAGTTTTAGAAATATGTTAAGGGAATAGGTGCTCAAAACAGTAGTTATTAGTTGGAGAACTTGGTAATACCAACACCCCAAGAAGGCTCCCTCTGCTTGGAATGTTTAATCTCAGAGCTGGCACCAACATGGTACTCAAGCTAGAAAACAGGAAGTCGCTCTGGACTTCTTCCTTTTTTCTCCATTTGCATGGTCACTGCGTTAAATCAGGCCTATATCATGCCTTACCTGAATTAGTGGGTTGAATACTAGCCCCTCCACATTCACTTACTCCATTAATGTAATTAGCTCATACCTGAGTTGGCAACATTCTAACTGGCCTTCCTGGCTCGGCTATACCCACCCCCAAGCTCTCAACTCATCCTTTGAACCACTATCAGGTTAATGTGTCTAAAGTGATTAGTGGTATTTGAGAGGCTTATACTATCTGGCTGGTGTTAATTGTCCTACTCTGAAATTTCATTGCAACATTTAATCTTATCTTCTTTTTTTTAAAATATATTTTATTGATTTTTACAGAAAGGAAGGGAGAGGGATAGTTAGAAACATTGATGAGAGAGAAACATCGGTCAGCTGCCTCCTGCACATCCTGTGTGCAGGATTGGGGATGTGTCTGTAACCAAGGTACATGCCCTTGATCGGAATCGAACCTGGGACCCTTCAGTCCGAAGGCCAGTGCTCTAGCCACTGAGCCAAACCGGTTAGGGCTTATCTTCTCTTTTTTATCCATTCACAGCATATATTATTTGATAGGTACAAATTATTTAAGCTCATAAAAGATTAGTATTTTTTCATATATTAAGCTAATATTTTGTTTTTTAAGTGTCTAATTTTTAAAGGTGAATAAGTTTCTTTTCCCCTCTGAAGCTAGTATCATTTACTGTATTTTTCTGTGTATAAGATGCTATTTTTTTTCTAAAATCGTGAGACTGGAAATCAAGGGGCATTTTATACATGAATGTGTTTTAACCAAGGTCACCTCTCCGAGAAAGGTTGTTTACCCAGGTGGGGATTTTTCCCTGGAGTTAGGGAGGGAATAAAACCCCTTAACTAGGTGCCAGGTGGGTAGTTAATCACTTTAACTACAAACAATCACACTTAAACTACATAATCTTTACTTAGGATAATCTCCTTCAGTTACTTCCTTATAGCGTAATAGAACAATAAAGTAACCTTGGAATAGAGATAAGAAACACCCTAACCTTTGGAATAGAATGGATAGGATTAAGATCAACTGGTATAAATACAGATGTAACAGG